TGGTGTACTTCTTCTTCTTCTTCTTCTTCTTCTTCTTCTTCTTCTGTCTCTCTCCTCTGGTCTTTATCTCTTTGCAAGTGCTTTCATTTCTTTCGGAATTGGGTGGCATTGTCTTTCATTGTGAATTTGCACTTGGGAAATGACCAGGATCGTAACAGTGGTTTCTTTTTTTTCTTTTTTCTTTTTTGGAATTGAACATGTGTGAGTATTAAATTAGGGCTTGTGTATGGTTGAATTGCTCTTGTGTGTTCGCATATATGTGAGGATTGAGCCCTCAACGGGGCCTTGCCGACATGCATATGTTCTGGGCATAGGCTCCCAGCAAGCCTCGTGCCCGCCCTAAGTGAAGGCGGGCCAGAATATCCACGAGAGACCTTCATTCAACATTTCACAAAGTGGGTATCAGACAGTTGCCGCACACCAGTTGGTTGGAGTGCATCGTGAGCCTCAGACTCCTGCAAAGGCAGTTGAGCCCAGGCCTCGGTTGGTTGAGCCTTGGGCGACAGTCTGGGAGGCCGACACATCACACATTGGTCCCTGGCCTTAGAAAAGCAGTATTTCGTCGTCGAGGCCGAGGAAACCAATGGGAAACCTGTACAGGGCCTGAATCTGGACAACGGCCCTAGCATAAGGGGCGCAACTGTATTACCTGGGCCCCATCTGCGTTGGGCCTGGGTACAGGTACTGGGGCCCAGGCGCACGCTCAAGGCAGACCACCCACACGCAACACTGGCATATAGGCAGAACAGGCGAGCGGGCAGGGATCTTGGCATTTGCACGCAATGCCGGCACGCTGCTGCGCTAATGCACGTGCTGGAGCAGATGCAGCGCTAGGAAGGCAGGCTGGCGCTAAGCGGTAGGGCGCAGCCTGGGTGCAGGGCGCTGGCAGCCATAGCCAGGCTGCATGAGGGCGCGGGAGGAGGTGAGGGCGAAGGTGGTTCTTCGGGAGGTGAAGGGCGCTGTGTGGGATAACAAGGGAGAGTGAGGGGAGAGAGAGAGACGTACCTGGTGGAGAGGTGGTCGRCATTGGTGTTGACGTCATYACTCGCTGGTCGTCAGGTTGTCTGGTTGCTTCCATGCTGTAGTTGTAGGTATAGGCTGTAGAGTAGATAGGGCGCCTGGCGCCATTCAAGAGAGAGAGCTACTTCGGGTTATGTTGTTGGTGTTRCCCTATTGGGCTTGGACATTGACTCACGACTTTTGCCGTATCGTTCTCAAATGGATGGTATCTTGGTTCCGATGTGCTATCTGCTCTTGCTTTGACTACTTGGACTTCAGTGTGATTTTGCAATTGGTATCTATGTGCTTCGACCACATTCATGTTCCTTGCATTTCGGTATCGGAGCTGGTTCGATTCGCCACTTACCTTGGTGCGCTGGCGTTATACACACTTGATGCGTTGACAATGCTTCTTTGCAGTTGGTTCTTCTGACGTCAGGCCGATATTAGGCGCACGACCTGGGTAGAGAGGTGTGCGTCGGAAAGCTGTACGGCTTGGGATGCCATGACGACGGCGGAATGTATGATTGGTGATGAGAGCATGCTGATGTGGCATATGGCTGAGGTGGCACTGCATTGCATTGTGGGTGGTACCGAGGCTACGACCGGTCATCAAATGCACACTCAGCTCAATTGGTGAGAAATCTGTGGTTGGGGGCAGCTATCTCCAGGTACGTTGTCCCCTTACCTTATCCACCCTCTCAATCTCTTCTTACCGCGAGGAAGTGAGTTCAACTTGAGAGTCCTCTCTTTTTGGTGAGGTGTCGTGAGCGCTCTACCTTGAGAGACGACAATCTTCCCAGTGGCGCATCTGGAAGGAGAAAGGGCGGTGCCTTTGAAGGGCCCTGGTCGAAGCACGTGGGTCACGGTCACCATGCCAACCCAATGGGATTAGGACACGCATGCGATGGCTGCTTTGTCCATGAGGGCACTTTTGCTGCACTGATAGAGGGGTGTGCGGACTGAACAGGCTTATGCAGACGCTCCCAGACCGTCTATAAACATTTTTGGATGGGGTTCCGATCTGTCAACTGACTGTGATCGTCGTCCTGATTGCGACGTTAAATAATTCATGAGCGACCTTGGGGGTAGTCCTTAAATAGGCCTCTTGATCAGTCAGATCAGTCGGACGTACGGCTCGTTGCACGCAAGGATAAAGAAAGGGCAAGCCTAGTCATAAGCATGCACCTGGGGCACAGGGGTGGGCTGACATTGCACATCTATGACACTGCTGCTCAAAGATGCTCATCGGTATGTTGGATTGAGGGGAGGGTAGGTTCCAATTGGTGCTCAAATGTAAACACAACCATATCCACTGTTCATACATCAGCAACATAATTTAGTTTTATTGTTGATTAGTTGGTTGACAGACTGCTAACACCTCACAGACAGCTTAGTTTAGGACTGTAGTAAACTACCATATCCAGTTTTATGCGAAGCTTCTGTAAGAGAACTAATCTGGATAAAATTAGATTGTGTTTACAGTTTTTGTGAATGTTGTAAGGCTGCCACTTGATCGGTTAAGTAGGGGACCTGCCGGACACATTTATTTTTAGAAAATTAGGTGTCGGTCAGACACATGCTGTGGTAGGACTCCAACAGGGGTTGTAGTGCAGATAGTGTTTGCCTAATTGATGAGTGGGTCAGACGTCGATGAGGGAGGAGTTGACGATGCAAGGCTCACACATTCGAGATCACTTAGGGTCCCACACGTGTATCAGGCCCTACGGCCGGGAGACGAAAAACGGCTTCGTGCCGAAGTTAGAGCCCGTGCTTACGCAGCAGCGAGGAAAACAGCACTAGCTGCAAGTCGGACGTTGGCAGCAGCAAACGCCGCAGCTAGGGAACAGGCAGCAGCAGCCAGAGCAACAGCAATGGCTACCGCGGCAACATCCTCTGCCGCATCCTCGTCTGGGACCCAGTTGGGGATGCCCCCTGGGCCCACGGGTACTTCCGGATCGGTAGGTTCTTGTCAGTCTACAAGTCGAATGGCGGGCTCGCAGTTCAGTCTGTTGACCCCACGCGGTAGGGAGCTATTAGAGCTCCAACAAGTCGAAAGGATCCGCGTTCGGTTAGAGAGGGAGCTGAAGCAAGCTACCGATAGAGAAAAAGAGATCAAAAATAGAACAGCTAGGCAGACAAAGCTGCATTAGAGGGTTTGGACGAGTCAACCATGTCTGACGAAATGAAAGTGTTAAAGTCCAGCATATTGTCATTGCATGCGCATGTGGACAGCAGACTGGACTTTATGCAAAACTCTTTGGATCAAATCTTGGACCTTTTGCAAAGGCCAGGATTACTGGCAGCAGCACAGTCGCCATTGCCGTTAACGGCGATGTCAGGCCCCTTTCCGATACAAGCTGGCACACAGCCAAGTGGTACGTCTGCAGCAGCCGCACAGACTGTTGCTTCTTCTTCTTCTGGTCCAGCGGCTACACCACAACCACAACAAACTGTTCCACCACAGGGACAGCAGCAAGGTCAATGGTACCCAAAGACCCCAATGAAACCGCCCCTTGCCTTCTCCGGTGAGAAGAAGGACGAGGAACTCAACACTTGGTTGAGAACCGTTCCAATGTGGGTAAGGGCAAAGAGGACGTTGCAGGAGGAGGAGGTGATTACTGCTGCATCTTACCTTGAGGGTAAGGCAGCCAAATGGCTGGATGGAATAGTAGCAAAGGCCGGGTTTGGACGACGCATGGCAGACTGGGGTAAGACCCTCATTTTAGAAGAGTTCTTAGATATGGTAGAAGCTCGCTGGCATAATCCGCAGCAGGCACAAATTGCCACTGACGCGATGTTGAGACTGCACCAGCGAAAGTACAAGTCAGTCAGATAGCTAACATCTACCGTAGAGAACCTCATCGTCGTCCCCGGTATACGCAACGATGACCAGGTCTTATTGACCATGTTTCTGAGATGTCTACCCGAGAATCTCAGGACCTTACTGGCCAGCGAGGCTCGCTTCGAGTATCATTCCTTTGAGACCTTCTCGAGAAAGGCCGATTTGGAGGCTACTCTAGGAAGTGCTCAGCCTACTCCAGTAGACGGGAGGAAGAAGAAGAGTCCACAGGAATGGAAGAAGAAGGGTAGTAGATTGATGATGGTTGAGTCCGATGGGACCCAAACTGAAATCGACGAACTTACCGACCTGATGGACAGTTCAGAGTACGACGGCGAGGAAGTCGCTGAGGGTAGCACCCTTGCCGCAATAGTAAAGACCAAGGCAGGTGGCCGAGGTAAGGGCCATCAAAAGAGTCAAGGGCAGACCACCTCCAATCAGTCCAAAGTAGCAGATTGGGTAAAGGCAGGTCTCAGGATGTGTGGCGGGACCGCCGAGTGCGTGGTGCTTGCATCAACTGTGGTGAATACGGACACACCCAGTACAAGTGCAAGAACGCAAAGGTCACGCAGAAGATACCCCCTAAGGGAGGGGTACCTTCGTCCCAGGCTTCCAGCTCGGGAAACATGTGAGGCCGGTGGAAGTTTTAGCTGCTTCTACTCATGGTGAAGTGGGTCAGATAACCTCCCCACTTCATGAGAAAGCCATAGCTAATGACTCTTTAGTCACCCTGCAGACTCATTTAGACCAAACTATGCTTTGTACGTTGGATGTGTCTGAAGCCTTAGAAGATTTGGAAAGTGAGTGGTCAAGCAAGGACCCTCGCGAATCTTGGGTGGCACTAAGTAGAGGTCCTAGAGGGGAACATTTCGTTGTGGAAGTTGTTGTAGGAGGCCGCAAATGTGGTGCCTTCGTAGGCATCGGCTCCACGCGGAATTACATAAGTCGCGACTGTTTCGAAAGGCTGCACCTAAAGGACCGGGTACAGCACCTTAGTAGACCGGTAGCATCTACTTTGGCCAATAAGGAGCGCATGGTTGTCACAGACTATGTCAAGGATGTAGTCTGTACCTTCTCCTATGGAGGAGGGGAACTTAATCACAAGATTTCGTTCCTGGTTAGCGACGACTTACCATTTGATATGCTGTTAGGAATGTACTACCTTGAGGTTGCCAAGCCCCAGTTTGACTGGGACAAGAAGGTGCTAAAGCATAAGACTGGCTAAGTAGAAGGCCAGTAGTCTAATAGAAACCTATGGCTGCTTGTGTGCATCAGCATTCTATAATTACTATAAACAGAACCAAGAGGAGGGTATGTACCTAGTGTATGTAAACAGAACCAAGAGGAGGGTATGTACCTAGTGTATGTCTCTGAGAAAGGGGAGGCCGTTAAAACACCCCCAGAGATAGAACACGTCGTTGCTAAGGTCCCTGATTTGTTCAAGGAGCCCACAGGAGTCGTATATAGGGAGATTGTCCACGCCATAGAAATCATTCCAGGGAGTAAAACCCCAAAGGGAAGGATCTATAGGATGGCTTCGGCCGAGAACTTCGGCGACAACTGCAAGAGCTGACAGAAAAGGGTTGGATACGGCCGAGTACTTCCCCCTTCGGATCTCCAGTGCTATTTGTACCGAAGAAGGGAGGAACATTGAGGATGTGCATTGATTATAGAGGCCTCAATGCCATCACAGTGAAGAACGCAGAGCCTCTACCTCACATAGACGACATATTGGATAGGGTGCAGGGATGTAAGTACTAAAGCATGATAGACTTAAAGTCCGGCTACCATCAGATTGCTATAAGACCTGAGGATCAGCACAAAACAGCATTTCAGACCAGATACGGTCTGTACGAGTTTGTGGTGACGCCCTTTGGCCTTTGCAATGCGCCGGGTACATTCCAGCACGCCATGAATAGGATCTTCCATGACTATTTAGATAAGTTTGTTGTCGTGTACCTTACGATATTCTCATCTTTAGTAAGTCTGTCGAGGAGCATGCACAACACGTAGAGACTATACTATCACTCCTGCGACAACACAAGTATAAGGTTAACCTAGAGAAATGTGAGTTTGGATGCACTAGGATCTTGTACTTGGGTCATGAGGTATCCGCGGAAGGAATTAGGCCGGAAGATGCGAAGGTGGCTAGTATCAGGGACTGGCCACGACCTCAGACTGTTACTGAGGTCAGATCTTTCTTAGGGATGTGCGGCTACTATAGGAACTTTGTGAAGAACTATTCCACAGTCGCCTCTCCTTTGACTGATCTAACTCGACTTGACACGCCATGGGTCTGGAGTGACGAGTGCGAGGCTGCTTTTAAACGATTGAAGCATGCACTCATGAATCGTGAGGTTCTCACGATGCCCGATCCTCAGAAGCCTTTCATTGTGACCACTGACGCAAGCCAATACGGCATTGGCGCAGTGCTGGCTCAGCACCGATTGAGTATATGAGCAGAAAGATGCCATCAAAGAAACTGGCGAAGTCCACCTATGAAAGGGAACTCCATGCTCTCTACAAGGCACTTGTCCATTGGAGGCACTTTCTGTTGGGATGGTTTTTCTATTTGAGAACTGACCATCAGACCCTTAGATGGATCAAGACTCAACCGGCTCTTTCTGATGCACTTAAGCGTCGGATTGAGGTCATAGATCAGTATGACTTCAAGCTAGAGTATCTGAAGGGAGAGTACAACAAGGTTGCAGATGCGCTATCACGTAGGGCAGACTACCTAGGGGCGCTAGTTTCTGAGTTTTGTGTATCTGAGGAAGTAACTCAATCGTTGGTGGGAGCCTATCAGGAAGACCCTGTCACGATGGACATCATACACAAACTTCAGGCGAAAGATAAGGCCACAGAAGATGAGTTTGTGATGGTGGACGGGCTACTCTTTCTTGATAAGGGCGGATTTAAAAGATTAGATATTCCATCTAGTGAGCATTTGCGCAGTTTATTTCTAGGAGAATGTCATGGCACAACTGGACACTTTGGCTGCAAAAAGAAGAGTGCCAATCTAGTACAGCGATTTTGGTGGCCCGGAATGCTAGATGATGCAAAGAAGTATGTGGAGACCTGTCAGGTCTGTCAGCGGGACAAGCCGCGAGCTCGAGCACCGCTTGGGTTGCTAAAACCCTTACCTATCCCCGCTTGTCCGGGACAGAGTGTTTCCATGGATTTCATGGACACCCTGGTGACCAGTAGGAATGGCAAGAGGCACATCTTTGTCATGATAGACCGATTCACCAAGTACGCTAGACTAATTGCCATGCCAGAGACCGCAAGGACTGAACACGTCATCAAGTTGTTTACGGACAACTGGGTGCGTGATTTTGGACTGCCAAAGTCAATCGTTAGTGATAGAGATGTCCGCTTCACAAGTGAGTTGTGGAAGAAGACTGCTGAGCAATTGGGCAGTCAACTTCAGATGACCTCTGAGAATCATCCCGAAGCCAACGGACAGGCCGAGCAGATGAACAGAGTTGTACAACACCTGCTGAGGCATTACATCAAGCCCAACCAGGATGACTGGGATGAGAAGTTGCCTCTCATCGCTAGCCTGTACAACAACGCTGTACACAGCAGTACCGGCATCAGTCCTAATCAGCTGCACTTGGGATGGAAGCCTAGATCAGCTCTGGACTTCCTCCTGCCTGAAAACCGACCCTCTGCAACTCCGGGCACACTTGAGTATGGTGTGCAGTATGAGAAGTTGCTACAGCAAGTTGTCGAGCACATCAGGAAATCTCAACAAGCAATGATTGCTTCTGAGAACAAACATCGTCGACAATCCTCATTTCAGGTAGGGGAACGTGTCTGGGTCAAGGCTAGTGAGCTAGGACAGGAATTCGGTATCTCTCGAAAACTAATGCCTCAGTATTTTGGTCCCTGGGAAGTCCTGGACATAGTTGGGGATGAGATGATGGATGGTCCTTCCTATGTTATCCGTATCCCTGGTCACCTGCGCACGGGCCCTGTGTTTCATGCCTCAAAGCTTGCACCTTTCGCTGAGACAGATCAATTTCCTTCAAGGAGATCAATGCTGCCCCCAACCATGGATGGCCACGTGGACATCGACGACATTCTGGATCACAGAGACATGCCTGTTCCCAGACCTCTTGGCAGAGGAAGACCTCCAAAACCCAAGAGAGAATACAGAGTCAGATTCAGGCATCACACAGATCCGAAAGAAGATCGGTGGTTCACCAGAGAGGAACTGATTGAAACAGCACCTCAAGTGGTGGCGGAATATGAAAGACAGCTAAAGGGGAAGGCACCTGCGAAGCAAGCGTCTCAGCGGACTTTCGAAGCTAAGGGGGATGGAATGTGAGGATTGAGCCCTCAATGGGGCCTTGCCGACATGCATATGTTCTGGGCATAGGGCCCCAGCAAGCCTCGTGCCCGCCCTAAGTGAAGGCGGGCCAGAATATCCACGAGAGACCTTCATTCAGCATTTCACAAAGTGGGTATCAGACAGTTGCAGCACGCCAGTTGGTTGGAGTGCATCGTGAGCCTCAGACTCCTGCAAAGGCAGTTGAGCCCAGGGCCTCGGTTGGTTGAGCCCTGGGCGACAGTCTGGGAGGCCGACCCATCACACATTGGTCCCTGGCCTCAGAAAAGTAGTATTTCGTCGTTGAGGCCGAGGAAACCAATGGGAAACCTGTACGGGGCCTGAATCTGGACAACGGCCCTAGCATAAGGGGCGCAACTGTATTACCTGGCCCCCATCTGCATTGGGCCTGGGTACAGGTGCTGGGGCCCAGGCGCAGGCTCAAGGCAGACCACCCACACGCAACACTGGCATATAGGCAGAACAGGCGAGCGGGCAGGGATCTTGGCGTTTGACTGCAATGCCGGCACGCTGCTGCGCTAATGCACGTGCTGGAGCAGATGCAGCACTAGGAAGGCAGGCTGGCGCTAAGCGGTAGGGCGCAGCCTGGGCGCAGGGCGCTGGCAGCCATAGCCAGGCTGCATGAGGGCGCTGGAGGAGGTGAGGGCGAAGGTGGTTCTTCGGGAGGTGAAGGGCGCTGTGTGGGATAACAAGGGAGAGTGAGGGRAGAGAGAGAGACGTACCTGGTGGAGAGGTGGTCGGCATTGGTGTTGACGTCATTACTCGCTGGTCGTCAGGTTGTCTGGTTGCTTCCATGCTGTAGTTGTAGGTATAGGCTGTAGAGTAGATAGGGCGCCTGGCGCCATTCAAGAGAGAGAGCTACTTCGGGTTATGTTGTTGGTGTTRCCCTATTGGGCTTGGACATYGACTCACGACTTTTGCYGTAYYGTTCTCAAATGGATGGTATCTTGGTTCCGATGTGCTATCTGCTCTTGCTTTGACTACTTGGACTTCAGTGTGATTTTGCAATTGGTATCTCTGTGCTTCGACCACATTCATGTTCCTTGGATATAGTAAACTGCTTAATTTTTTTCATAATTTGGACTGTGTGCAGAGTTGCACAGGGTGACGGTCAGCACCCCTCGATTGGTCAGCTCCTGACCAGCCACCTACCAGTCGGGGGTCGTCGGCACCCCGCAAAAAAGTCCATAACCCCAATAACCCCACCAACACCCCTATACACCCCATCCAAAACCCTCATACCTCACCCCCAATACCCCCTATACCCCCCTATTTACCCCCATATCCCCCCTATACCCCCACCTATACCCCCCCATCCCCCAAAGTTTCTGAGCGGATTTGGGCTGTACTCAGCGAGCGCAGTACAACCCCATAGATTAAAAACAAAACTCAGTGGATGGCTGTTTAGTATTTAGTATTTACTGACTGGTCGGCCGACCGCCGACTGGTCGGCGGTCGGCAGATATGCAACCCTGACTGTGTGTCATACCACCCCCAATTACCCCTTATACCCCCCCATACCCCCCATATACCCCCCTATAAACCCCATATATACCCCCATAACCCCGCCCCCGCTCCCGCCCCAACCAAAAGTTTCTCAGCGGATTTGGGCTGTACTCAGTGCGCGCAGTACAGCCCCATAGTCAGATTGAAAAAAAAATCAGTGGATGGCTGTTTAGTATTTACTGACTGGTCGGCAGATGGCCGACCAGTCGGCCCTACCAGTCGGCCGCAAAACGGTCTGCAATCAGGGTCGGCGGTCGGCGGGTATGCAACCCTGACTGTGTGTCATCCTTGCACAGGGGTCATGCTAATCTTCTCTGCATCATTCCAACTTTACTGGATGTCCCGTAGGACACGATTAATCTCCTTCATTTTGCTGCCACGTGTGTTTCCTTGAGCATGCAGTATGTGTGCTTGAGCTTCAGAGGGCTCACTTCACTGTTTGCTGAGGGCGCTTGTTTGAGTGTGCTTGGTTCACTGTGCTTTCAAGGCGCTTGCTTGAGTGCGCTTGTGTGGGGTTCCAGGATGCTGGAGTACATGGTATGGTAGAGTGCGTGCCTCTAGACACTGCCTTATGATTTTGTGTTCATGTGCTCTAAGGTGGAGCTGGGGTGGGTTTGCTTTGTTGAAGCATTCAGCAGTCCAGCTCACTACTGCAACCAGTCTGCCACAACCTTCCTCCCCC